AAAAAAAAAAAAAAAAAGGCAACAAAAAACAAAAAGACCACTCTGGCATTTGCTGTGCCTGTTTCCTTGTCTATAATGAAGGTATTGAATAAAGCAAACCTTCCAATCAGGGCCAGCTATATAAAAGATCCTCCCCTGAAAGTCACACACACATACACACACAGGCACACATACCCACACCCATACCCACACCAAAACTCTTCTACATACACACACAGACACACTCAAACAAAGCAATAAAACTCTATTACATACACACACATATACCCAAGACAAAAAAAAGTTTTTATTATATTTTGCTTTACCAATTTATCCCTTGGAAAATTGTTTTGCACCAAGTTATGTAGTAAGTTAAGTTCTTGTCCCTCATTTTATGAAGTTATGAGTTTGGGGTTGGGGGAGAAGCCACTGCTCTGAAGTCATATCATCAACCAAGGTGGAGAGGGCATCCTGACAGGGATCTCTATTGTAGAAGCAATGGATAACAACAGGGGAAGGGCCACATTATGGGAGAGATGCCAGCCTCAAACACCCTATAAAAAGGAGTAACTTACTGTCTCTCTCTTCTAATAGAAAGCAACCCTTGGGGCCAAAATCTTTTAAAAAATGTACTGCTATACCTTGAGTGCCCAGAGCAATACCTGGCACAGTAAGTGTTCAGTAAGTATTTGCTGAATAGATGGAGCTAGGTACTGGTCCACTTTGGTGCCTCTAGGAGTGCTCCTCTTGCCATAGGAAACATGCTCAGAAGTAGGAAGTTCAGAGTAACATAAACTTGTAACTTCACTCTCTTCTCTTTGACTTGTCACCCTTGAGCATTTGAGACTGAATTGCGAAAGTCTTAGAGAGAACAGGTAGGGGAAAGATTAGCCCATTTTTCCCAACCCACCTATCTCTTTCCCCACTGGTAGGGTCTGAATGTGGCATCAACTAGTATGATAGAATTCATCTTTGGCCTGGGACAGGCATGCCTTCTAAGAATCCTACCATGAAAGATTTATAAACATAAGAATCCTTAATTTATCTGTTATGTAAATCCAGATTTATTAACTGAATTTGTTTAAATCAAAATTATTTGTGCTATAGATCTCACATTGTCAACAGATCCTACAGCTGGTATGTTTTTGCTCATAAGCTGAAAGAGAATTAGGAGTGAGTTAAAACTAAAAATGGTTTGAAATTCTCATACTCCTCTCAGCAAAGCCCTGCTGATTGATACAATAAACCACTGCTAAAGCAGCATTAACAATAGTGGACCATTTTGGATATTATCTGTGTGTAGAAAGACACAGAGTTTGACTCTGTTTGGAAAATCAGATGCTAAATAGCTCTTGAAACCGGGTAGCTCGTTATGAAAACAGAGGGATGGTAGGCCCTTCTAATTGGCCAGAGTATTTACCCAGAGGTCTGGCTTTCACATAAAAGGCAGGAGGAACCACTGGAGTCAGTCCCCGCTTCCAGTAAGAGTTCAAGTTAAAACAGAAAAAAGGAAGATGGCAAGAATATTGTTACTTTTCCTCCCGGGTCTTGTGGCTGTATGTGCTGTGCATGGAATATTTATGGACCGTCTAGCTTCCAAGAAGCTCTGTGCAGATGATGAGTGTGTCTGTAAGGATTTTTTTATGCTTTTCATTATCTTTATATTACATAATGGAAAATATATCCACTAATAGCATAAAATTGAATTGTACTTTGAAATGAGTCTTCTCCAATGTGTATATTATCAACTTTGTTTCTTCTGGTCTGCATTTTGGTGTCTTACTATGGAGAATTCACTTGGCTGAGTTTTGTTGCAGCTTTAATATCTTGGCTGTCTTCTTTTTCTTGGATAGACACCAGCTGTAAACTGGAAATTATCAGTCACTCTGATTTCCTAGTTTTTCTAATATACACTGCCTTTTACTGTTATAAAATGCAGGAGTCTAAAATGTAATCATTTATTTATTTTTTCTTCCAGATACTATTTCTCTGGCTAGAGCTCAAGAAGATTATAATGCCCCGGACTGTAGATTCATTAATGTTAAAAAAGGACAGCAGATCTATGTGTACTCAAAGCTGGTAAAAGAAAACGAAGCTGGAGAATTTTGGGCTGGCAGTGTAAGATGAGATAATTTAAAATGAACACCTGTTGACACATATTGCTCTTAACTTTTCCTTGATTACTTACGTTCAATCTATTTTAATGCTTAATACTAGTTGTTAAGAACCATGTAGCGATTGTAGATGGAAATGCAAACATTCAGGTATAGTTGCTATTATTGCACTTTAAAGAAAGAAAGATCAATTTCATAACAAAACCAAATGTAGGTTAATGTGATATTTTGGCAAAAAAAGAGTCAAATACATGGGGGCTTGAACATCCCAAAGAATTTGAATCTTATCCGAAAACGTCTGAGATTTGCCAAGTAGAAGGCATGCGTGTTGGCAGTGAGTCTAAGTATCAATATTCTTTCGGGAAACGTTGCACCCTCATTAATTCCAAAGAATCAGCGTTTTTCAGTTAAAATATACAGGGGTGGTCTCTGGGGAGGGATGAAGCAGGGTTGATTTTCTGTCCTCATCTGCAACCCTAAAGGTGAGTTCTAAATTGATGAAGGATTACATTTAAATCCTTTTAAGTCTGTTCATTTGAATTGTTGAAAACTGAGAAATTTGCATCATTTAAAATAAGTGTCTACAGTACTTTAAAACATGTACTGTCTTTATATATTTATGGGTTCAAAAAAGATTTCAGGCAACTCACAAGACTGCATAAAATAAAGTCATGCTAAAGTAGTGAAATAAGGCTGGGCCACTAAAGAGTAGATGCACAACTCCTGCGGGTTAACTTAGTGCTCCAAGTAAACTTCGGATTTTCCGCAGAGCCCCCTGGACCCCAGGGTGAAAGGGAGGTATTGGCAGCTATGATTTTCACCATCAGCAAAGAGGATGCCTGCGGGTTTCTCAGAAGACACTCAGCGTCAGCTTTTTCCTGATTGCTATTCTTCTGGGCACTTAGGTTTATGGCGATGGCCAGGACGAGATGGGAGTCGTGGGTTATTTCCCCAGCAACTTGGTCAAGGAGCAGCGTGTGTACCAGGAAGCTACCAAGGAAGTTCCCACCACGGTAAGCATCTCAAAAGTGACTAGACAAGGACTCAGATCTTGGGGCAACGTAGGCTGGTGTCAAAAATGCATCATGCAACCTACAAGATGTATAGAACAAAGCCCTCAACTTTCAATGGCGACTTTTCTGAGATAGTGAGGTTTGGGGGACTATTTACAACTATTGTCAACGTTGAAAGATGAGTGAACTTTCTGTATACCACCCCCTTTTGTTTTATTTCAGTTTACTATTTTTTTGTCTCGTCTTTTTTCTTTATTTTTTCAGCTTCATTGGGTTTTAACTGACAGATAAAAATTGCATACATTTAATGCATACATTATGTTTTGATATACCTTGTGAAATGATCATCACAATCAAGCTAGTTAACAGATACATCACTTCACATAGTTACCTTTGTGTGTGTGTGTGTGAAAACATTAAGATCTACCCTTTTAGCAAATTTCAAGTATACAATACAGTACCTCTTTTGTTTTAGATGCACGTTATCTTGCAAAGCAGTCTATGTAACAAAGAAACAAACTAAAGTCAGTACTAACTGACTCTTACTGACGGTTTTCACTAAAGATAGGCTGAGAAAAAAATTATCACATGTTTTTGATCAAATCAAATTATTCTAAAACAATCTTTGAATGTCTTATTTTTGTGGTAAATAGATTCTATTTATGTATGAAATAAAATTATACTCTTCCTAATGCCCTGGGGTCCTCTAAACTCAGGACAGAAATAAAATATGCTTTCTGAGCTACTTTGCAAGATGCTTGTTTTGAAGTGATTCTCCTGGAGCTAATTGCTGTGCTTCAAACACTGCCCATCCTACACAAATGGGACTCAGTTGTCATCACTTCTTAGCGTTAAGCTGAAATCTGTCAGATAACCATAAATTAAAGGTTCATTTGAGGACCTTCATTGTAAGTAGTTTTTGACTTAAAGTGGTAATTATTTCATATTTTTTGGGAGTCAACCTTTACTTAATTGAAATTCAAATTTCTCTGATTGGATATGATTTTAAATACAGAGTCTACATCCGTTTTTTAGCCTAGCCTATTCAGTTCAATCTTTTTTGTTTTTGTTTTTTTCCAGGATATTGACTTCTTCTGCGAGTAATACACTGGTTAAAACTGCAAATAGAAAGAAAACACCAAAAATAAAGAAAAGAGCAAAAGTGACCAAAAAATGCATGTCTGTAATTTCTGACTGACATTTTAAGGATCTGTTACCTTACAGAAGAGCGAGGGCTTAGGGTTTGGAGGTGGCAGATAAAAGAGGATTTTCAACTCAAAACTTGTTTCCTGCTGGCCTGGTCTTCCCACGAGCTAGAGTGGGGAAATGTTGAGCTCAAATGGGTAAATTGAGACCAGAAAAATATTTTTTTCAACCTAGAGAATCTCCTCTTACAGGGGGATGCATATAAAAGATCATGTATGTGTAGTTATTTCTAAGTAGTGATTCTTCCCCAGCTCTTTGATTTCCCATATATAAAATAGGTGGGTCATGTTCCCTTTAGACATGACGTTTTCTACTCATTTGTCTTTCTGGCCAATTGGATTATTAATAAAGGGGCTGTTTTATCAAGGAGTATTCTAGTATTTTTGTTACCTTTAGTATTTGATGCCTTTTGGAGGTAAAGCTGTTTGGGGGGAAGAAGAGTTTTTGGACCCATAGATGTTTGGATGATGTCTCTAATTTGTCATTTAGAAAAATCTCAAAAGTCATTTCAGTTTAATAACTTGCCTTCTAAATGATCAATTTACTTCTCCCCCAATTTTAAAGAAGTATGTGTATATTTAACAGGGGAAGGTAGTTTATCGAAATATTTTTAATGGAATAGTTTTCCCTTAATATGTATCCTTGCTGGATATTATTCAAGCTTCAAGTCATCAAAAGACCCAGCAAAAAAAAAAAAAGTCTGTAGGTTATTTTCTCTACTTCTATTCCAACTTTGAATTTCCTCTTCCTGTGCAAATTCCTCTAGTCAAGTGTGATATATCAAGAAATCTGAGGAGGATGCAGGTTTTGTGGTCCTGATGGGCCCACAAGTTTTTCTATATTTAACTGGAAATATGCTTTGATTTTGTGTTATTAATATAATTCTTTTGATGTAGTCATGATTTTTTTCTTTGTTTGCATATAATTAAAATGCCTGTACTCTACTTAATGTCAAAATTTCTGAGTTTTTTCTTAAACATTTTTCACCTTAGAGAATAAAAGTGTGGGGGACTTGGGAATGAAGCTTGTTTTTCAGTTCTCTGTGATCTGGACATCCCCTAAGCATGAAGAAGAGAGCAGAAGAGGGCGTTTAGGGTTAGCCACAGACTTGGCCCAGGGTCATCTTTTAGCTCTGTCAACTGTGATTTTGGGTGAATATCTTTTTACCAAATTCTTATGTAGGTCAGTCAAATAAAGTGGTACCAAAATACAAAACACAATAAAACAAAATACCAATGTTTATTTATTTCTATTTTACTTTATTCCAAAGAGGTTTCAAGTAGCATCTAGGGCTCTCGATACAATTTTAGAGTAAGAGGTATTTATCCTATTTCTGCTTCTATTTGCCTCTCGCTTCTTGGCCTTTCCATTCTGGAAACACCAAGAACCCCTGAGATGCCCAGCACCCCATTGCTCCTACCGGGCCTTAGCTATGCAGCTTCACTCCCCATGCATGGGGCTTCCAAGGCAGAACTCCCTGCTTAACCCAGTCAGCTCCAACCCATGAAAACTGAGCTCTTCCAGGAGTTGGAAGGCCATTGACTGATTTATATCTCCTGGGGCCTATCTGCATTAAATGAAAGCAAGCACTTGCAGGACTTTAAACACACATCTGTCCTCTAAAAATGCAAATGGCCAACCGTGGACCAGCAGCAGCAGCAGCTGGGCCTCACCTGGGAGCTGGTTAGGAGGCAGAATCTCTGCCCACTGCATGCCTTCTGTGTCAAAATATGCATTTTTAACAATAACTCAGGGGATTCCTGTGCACATTAAAGATTGAGAAACACTGATTTTAGTTCCCTCTACTCATCTTACAGAAAAATAAATAAACAAAAGGCTAGAGTACATAGGAGATAGAGCAACTCTCTCCAAGTTAAACAACAGGATTGAACATTCTTATCAGTACTTTCCCAACCCTACCACAGCACTGTCTTGATTCTCCACTGATGTCTACCCAGAGAAAAGGAGGCAGAATGGTACCAGGGTGAGAGTTTGTGGGCAATGAGGCCTTTTGGGACCCCTTTCCAGTTGATGAATTGTTTCTCTCCCCTTCCCACTAAGAGAAAGGGCATCTTAGCACCTCTAAAAGGTTGTCAACTGTTAACATAAGAATTTTAGTCTAACGATCCTTGAGGGAACCCTAACTTGTAGGCTTCCTTGATACCCAAGCTAAACGATGTATATCTATATATCTCTCTACATATCTATATTAAATACATATATATTTTAGGCAGCCCAAGTCTTTGCTCTAGTTTATTAATCATGTACCAGGTAGTTAGGCCTGGCAGCTTGAGTACCTGTGACCCAGCTCCATTCTAGAGAGTCCCCGGCTACCCAGACGCATTCTGTTTTAGCCAAGATTAAACAGAACAAGGGCGCTGCTACTGTTTGTCTTTTAGTCTGAAGATAGTTAATTTCATTTAGGAAGGGCTTTAAGTTTTACTATGCAGCTTGTACTGCCTCCTTGTGAGAGAAAAAGAAGATGTTTAATCCTCCATCTCTGACCTCACAGAGTACGAGAAGTAAGACTCCTACCTACGGAAGAATAAAGAACCAATGCAGGGCAGTGGATGTGGGGAGGGAAGGCAGGTAGGTTTCATGAGTCAGCTTAGGGCAAGTGGTAGACTTTGCCTAGAGCAGAGCCCTTGCAAGGAATTACCAGGGCAGGATGAGGCAAGTAAAGAAACTGATCAGAGGTGAGAGGAGTCAGGGCATGGCACATGATAGTTGGCAACAAAATGAAATCATGTTGAAAGGAAGTGCGTTGGGTGGCACTCGTTGCTCCGAAAAGTTAGGTGGTGATAAAAGATCCCAGGGTACCTTGGAGCTTTGAAATAACTGGGCTGCCATTTTCTAGCTGTGCATACTTAGATAAGGTTCTGACTGTAACTGCAGGGCCAGCCCAAACCAGACCTACTCTGTCGATAACATAATGTTGAGTTGCCTTTTAAGTATAACAGAGCCCAAACCTGCAAGTCCTATTGCCCAGGCATGCACAATACAAAAAGCTTTGACCCCTAAAGATACCCAAAACCAACAAATCCTCCCTTTGGAACCGAGAAGACCAGGACAGGACTGGAACCTGAATGCAAGAACACTTTCAGAAGTGAGGGGTCTGTTGGCCCTAAAGATCTGGGGCTAAAATCCTCCTTAACATACCTTTCTGTAAATGGTCAAATTTAAAGCCCTCCAATCAGACCCTGCCAAGCCAACATTCCCAAATCCTTTCTCTTGCCCACGGTGATGGTTAATATTGAGTGTCAACTCGATCGGATTGAAGAGTGCAAAGTATTGTTCCTGGGTGTGTCTGTGAGGGTGTTGCCAAAGGAGATTAACACTTGAGTCAGTGGACTGGGAGAGGCAGACTCACCTTCAATAGGGGTGGGCACCATCTAATCAGCTGCCAGTGTGGCTAGGATAAAAGCAGGCAGAGGAACATGGAAGGACTAGACTGGCTGAATCTTCCGGCTTTCATCTTTCTCCTGTGCTGGATGCTTCCTGCCCTCGAATGTTGGGCTCCAAGATTGTCAGCTTTTGAACTCTTGGACTTACACCAATGGTTTGCCAGGGGCTCTCGGGCCTTTGGCCACAGACTGAAGACTGCACTGTTGGCTTCTCTACTTTTGAGGTTTTGGGACTCAAACTGACTTTCTCGCTTCTCAGCTTGTAGATGGCCTATTGTGGGACTTTGCTTTGTGATCACGTGTGCCAATTCTCCTAGTAAACTTCCCTTCATATACACATATACCCTATTAGTTCTGTCGTTTTAGAGAACCCTGACTAATATACCCACTGGCCCCCAGAATCTCATGTTCTTCTCACATTGCAAAATACGATAATCCCTTCTCAATAGTCTCCCCAAATTTTAACTCATCCCAATATTAACTCAAAGTCCAAAGCCTAAACTCTCGTCTGAGACTCAGGCCACATACCTCCCATCTATGAGCCTGTAACATAAAAAAAATTATTTACTCCCAAGATACAATGGTGGTACAGCCATTTGGTAAAAATTTCCATTCTAAGAGGGAGAAATAGGCCAAAAGAAGAGGGCAGCAGACCTTACATAACTTTAAAACTCAGTAGGGCAGGCATTAAACCTTAAAGCTCCAAAATAATCCTTGACTCCACGTCCTGTATCCAAGGCACACTGGTGCAAGGGGTGGGCTCTCAGGGCCTTGGCAGCTCCACCCCTGTGGTTTTGCAGGTGAGCCCCCATGGGTGCTTTCATGGATGAAGGTGAGTGCCTGTGGTTTTTCAGGCTCAGGGTGCAAGCTGCTGTTGGCTGTATCACTCTGGGGTCTGGAGGGTGGTGGCTCTATTCCCACAGCTCCACTAGGCAGTGGTCCAGTAAGGACTCTGTATGGGAGCTCCAACCCCATATTTCCCATCAGCACTGCCCTAGTAGAGTTTCTCTGTGGGGCTCTGGTACTCCTGCAGCAGGCTTCTACCTGACCACCCAGGCTTTCTAGTAAATCCTTTAAAATCCAGGTAGAAGCTGCCAAGCTTCCTTCACTCTTTTGCTCTGTGAACCTGTAAGCTTAACACCACATAGAAGCCACCATGGCTTACAGCTTTTGCCTTCTGGAGCAACAGCCCAAGCTGTGTCTGGAGCCTTCTGAGCTGCAGCTGGAACTGGAATTGCCAAGGTGCAGGCAGTAGCATCCTGAGGTGGCACAAGGCAGCAGTGCCCAGGGCCTGGCCTCTGAAACCATTCTTTTTTCCTCCTAGGCCTCTGGGCCTGTGATGGGAAGGGCTACCTCAAAGGTTCCTGAAATGCCTTCAAGTCTTTTTGCCCATTGTCTTGACTATTAGCATCTGACTCCGTTTTAGTCATGCAATTCACTCTAGCAAGTGTTGCTTCCCAGCCTGCTTGTATTCCTTTCCTGAAAATGCTTGTTCCTTCTTTAAGACATGGCCAGGCTGCAAATTTTTCCAAATTTCTATGTTCTACTTTCCTTTTAGTTATAAGCTCCGATTTTAAGTAATTATTTTGCTTCCATCCCTGATTGTAGGTTGGTAGTTATGGCAGCCATACCATATCTTGAATGCTTTGCTGCTTAGAAATATCTTCTGCCAGGTATACCCTAGGTCATCATTTTTAAGTTTAGTCTTCCACAAATCCCTAGGACATGGAGACAATGCAGCCAACCTCTTTGCTGGGATGTAACAGAGATGACCTTTGCTCCAGTTCCCACTAAGTTCCTAATTTCCATCTAAGACCTTGTCAGTTTGGCATTCTCTGTCCATATTTCTATCTGCATTTTGGTCACAACTATTTAAACAGTAGCTAAGAAGTTCTAAACTTTCTCTCATCTTCTTGTCTTTATCTGAGCCCTCCAAACTCTACCAACCTCTGCCTGTTACCC